ATTATCTTTTTTCAAATGTCCTAATAGATTTTTTCAATACACCAAATATATGTATTATTATCTTTTTAAAAAGGTATTTAATATAAAGCAATATTTAATCTTTCCTATTGACGTATTTTTATTTTACTATTTAAAAAAAAAACAACAAGTTAATACAATTTTATCTATAAAAGAATCGCTAACAGTTTGTTCTGTCTGTTAAATATTAAAGACTAAGTATGATCCTAAAATCGCTGTTGGAAGCACTTCCTTTATTAAACAACCAAAATGAAATAGTATATGTTGAGCCAATATTTGTTGCAAACTTTTGACTAATATAATCTGCTTTTCCTACAGCTCCATCTAAATAATAATAACTACCCGAGTGAGCTGCATAAGTTGTACTACTGTAAGAGAAACTGTCGGATGTTGTTTTAAGAACTCCAGCATAGGATGAACCAGATGGATTACAATAAATCCATGGTGAATAAGTACCTCCTTCAAAGCCACCATTCGTTATTAATTCAACAGTTGGTGTTGAATTACTTCTTACAGATATATCATCAAGTCCAAAAAAGCCAACATCTTCACGTAAAGCAAATGCAATACGAGTTTGTGTACCTATGGCAACATAAGTATAAGTATATTTTTGATAAGGATTTATATTTGGACAACTAGTGCATAGAGTAAAAACAGTTACACCAGTCCAACCTGATGTACATGTATTCGATGTAATTGCTAAGAAGAAGACATTAAAATGAAGAATGATTCATTTAGAATCATTACTTACTGACAGTCGTCGCACCTGTCGTTGTTGGTGTTGATGTGGTAACAGCTAAAATTAAATACATTTGGTAAATAATAAGAATCAATAGTTCACTTACTAATACCCATTTCGAGAAAAAAAAATAGATAGGAATTTTTTTTTTTTGATAAATTTTAATAAAAATAGCCATTAGTATTTTAATTCTAACTCTCAGTCGATTTCTCAAGCAATTCGTGTGAAGAAAATCAAATTTTTGCTTTTGTCTTATGTTAGAAGGAACTTTTTTTCACACTGTTCCTTTATAAATTTGATCAAAAAACGCTTCAGAAAATATCTTAGAAGAACTTGTAATATATGATTCGATACGACTTTATCTCCTCTGTTCAACAGTGAATACCATAGTGATCTGTCCTGTTTCTATCATAAGTTATTCAAAAAATATTCACCCTTCTTTTTCTTGTAAATAGGCATTAATAACTGATGTGAACGGTACAGACAAAAAAAGAAGGAAAATTTTATTTTAAATTTTATCCGTAAGTTTAACTTACTAGTTGTTGTACTTGTGGTTACTGACGTAACTACAGTTAAACAAAAAAAAAACAAAGATTTCAATCAATTTATGAATTCAAATTCACCTGTTGTGGTTGTAGTTGTTGCTAAAAAACACAAATGGAAGAAATTTCGATTTAAGAAAACAAATTTGTTTACTTTTAGTTGTCGTTGTTGTTGTGGTGCTGGTTGTAGTTGATGTTGTTGTGCTGGTTGCAGTGGATGTTGTTGTGCTGGTTGTAGTGGATGTTGTTGTGCTGGTTGTAGTGGATGTTGTCGTTGTAGTTGTTACTGATGTTGTACTAGTTGTTGTTGCTTTTCAAATAAAGGATAATCATCAAAAAAAAACAAAATAATATATTCTTACTTGTTGTAGTAGTTTTAGGTGAGATTAAAAAGAAAATTAATACGCCTAAGGCGGCAAGTAATAATGCTAAAAGAAGACCTATGAGAAGACAACAACACGATGAACAACATGGACAGAATGCACCACATAATCGACGATGACGACGACGTTTTTTTTTTGTAGGAATATTAAGAGAAGATCTTCGGTTGTTTTTCTCATTTATATGGAATACGAATTGATCATCCACTATTTGCCTTTTTGTTATTGTTGAAACAGAGTTGATGCTCCTGTTGAACGAATTGTTTGAAAAAATTCTAGCATTCATTGAATTGAAATCATTTTGTGAAGTATTTATCTATAGAAATTTTTATATGAATAAGATAGATTTCTATACTAAAACCAACCTTCGAAGGATGAACTCGTACAAAAGATACTGCACTATGTTTAAAAATCTATTGACAAAAATGTAGGACATCATTAAAGAAACTTTTCAATTTACTTGATCTGGTAGAGTCTTAGAAGAAAGTGGTGTTTGTGTGTTATGATCAAGATCAATCTGTACATCATTTGAAAGTGTTACATGGGTATTATCTTGAGCTGGTTGATCACTGACTGGTTGTTCTACATCATCCGGTGATTGTTGCTGATCACGAAACTTGTGAACAGTACATGATGATAGTTGAGAACGAGGAATTCGCACTATTGATGTTTTTGTTCGTGTACTCTTTATCTTACCTTGATGAGATTTCGATGCGATATGTGTATTAGGTGTCTTGTAATTAATATGAAACCCGTTTAATTCATTCATATTTTTTATTATTTTTCGATCCAATGGTCTAACTGATGCGGTTCGAGCCGTATATTTTGAAATTCTCATTTTTTGTGAAACAAATATTTCAAAATATTCAAATCATAAATGTTCAGCTGTTGGTCTTGAATTACAGTAAATCCATAAATACTTACAGACTGATGACAATGCTGAGTACTTTGTTAGTTTTTCTAGGTATGTGTCGTAGGAATTGTTGAACTATGTTATATTTTTTGCCGTATTGATTGTTCAAACTTTTATCACCAATGTCACTGAATTGTTTTCTTTTATATAATAACCTTGCGCATACCTTCAAGTGTTCTACATTTACATAATAATAAACAATAAAATTGAAAAAAATATTAGACGACTTTACTGAATGTACGTTTGATTCAGTTTACATTCATAGAATCATCTACCTAAGTAGCTTTTCTATGTCGCCACTTTTTTACGAACTGCGTCGCAGTTACGCGCAGAGCCAATTCTGTGTCGCATTTACGCGTAACTGCGCCGCATCGATCACAGTAAGAACATCTATCAGAAATTACAGTTACTACGACGCAGATAAGCGCATCTGCTTCGCAGCAATCGTATTGTACGATCCGCTGTAACCGATACTGACTAATTACAAGCGACTCCTCCTTATTTATAATTGATTACACTCCAGCGCTAAGACTTAGCCACGTAGACACTGTATAAAAAGCCGTCTCCGTGAGACTTTAGCTCATAATTCATTCTACTGCAACAAGTCGAATAAATATTCCGAAAAAAATTTTAATTTTTTTGTTTTTATTACTAATTTTTTTTATTATTTTACTTTTCTTATTTTTAAATTTTTCAAGCTTTTTCATTTTTCTAGATATTTATCTTTTTATTATTCTAGATATTTATCCTTTTATTTTCAAGTGTTTAATTTTTTTTTAAATTTAATATTAAAAATTTTGTGTATATTTTTTTAATTTAAAAAACTTTTTTATTAGTAATATTTTTTTTTTAATTCGTTTTTATTTTTTTATAGAAACTAAGTTTTTTATTTTGCTAGATTTTTAAATTTTTCAAATTTTTTAATTGTTTTGTATGGTGAAAGTTTCTTTAACATTCACAATAAAGAAATTAATAAAATGAAAATCTCATCTTTGATCTCTTTTAGAAACTGCGATCGCACGATGACCCATCATTGCGAAAAACTCCGACGCAGTTACGCGTAACTATGATTTTTTTTATCGCAGTTTGACCGCAGTCAAACATATGGGTTAAAATGTTAGTATCTGAACTTAACGAGTTGGGTGTGGGTGTGGGTGTGAGGGTGTGGGTGTGGGTGTGGGTGTGGGTGTGGGTGTGGGTGTGGGTGTGAGGGTGTGGGTGTGGGTGTGGGTGTGGATGTGTATGAATGAAAGTAAGACTATTATTCACACCCACACTCACACCCACACACCTCACCCACACCCACACCCACAGCCACACTCACACCCACCCACACTCACAGCCACACTCACACCCACCCACACCCACACCCACACCTCACCCACACCCACCCACACCCACCCACACCCCACACCCACACCCACACACCCACACCCCACACCCACCCAGCGCAGCTCTGTTATGATTTCGTATTTTGATTTGTAGACTCATTTCACGAGCTCAATCAGGAACATTCTTTTAGGGATAGAGTTAATTGTTCTGAGATGTTCGACGTAGACAATAAACTATTTTCTATATACTTTCCGCGTTCCAAGAAGAAATGAGAACTTTTAAAATGTGATACAGTTGCTTCCAGTAAAATTGATGTCCTGTCTAAACAATAAATAAGAGAGATCTGCCCTTTGCATAGTTTTATAGAGCATGATCCGGGCTATCGAACTCACTATTGAACAAGAAATGTGTAATGGAAATTATGAGAATTTCGCAGTCTGGAAAAGGTCCAACTACTTAAAGGTATCCTTATGTGATACCAATTGCTTGGTTCTTTGTATGGAATTGGTGCCCAGCTTCTGCTCTTTCAAATGGTGAAAACCGCAGCTTTCTATCTCCTTCCTATCAAAAGTTATTCGAAAAGTAATGACCTGCCTTTTATTTTGGATCCGATAATAGTTCCTCGGGGATATGAAGGATGGCACGCAGAATTGGAAAAAACCGATGAATCACAAAATCGAAAAAGGGTATCGACACTTCAATTCTATAGCTATCGATTGGCTATTCGTCCAAACTTCAGTGCTATCCACTATGGAAGATAATTATTCCGACAATACAGGTTGGTTGAAAAGTTTTGAAAGCGACACCTATTAACCAGTAGAGGAATCAAAATTTATACGCTATTTTAATATTTCATCTTCCATTGGAACACACAAAAAATTCTATTTTGATTGGTCAATTCATTCTGTGTTTACAAGCCATTTGAAGTTGACGTGTCAGTGTATTTTGTTACAATGGAAAAAACCGAATATCGTGCAGTGATAAAATTCTTTGTTTTGGAAGGTTTATCAGCAACAGAAATTCATACAAAAATGGTGAAAGTGTTAAAGGAATCTGCTCCTTCATTTCCAACTGTGCATCGATGGGTTTTAGACTTTAAACGTGGTCGTACAAGCGTTGAAGATGAACCACGTAGTGGACGTCCAAAAAGTGCAACAACACCAGAAATCATTGAGCAAGTCTATGATATTGTTTGTAAAGATCCAAGTTTAACTAAGCGTGAAATTGCTGATACCATAGGCATCTCAGATGAACGAGTACTCCATATTTTACACGAAGAATTACATATGAAAAAGCTGCTCGGAAAGTTAGTGCCGCATTCGTTAACAATTCAACAAAAACTGAATCGAAAACAAATTTCTCACCGTAATTTGGAGCGTTTTAAGCAGAATAAAACCGATTTTGTGCGTCGTTTTATAACTATGGATGAGACTTGGATCTACCATCATGATCCTAAACTGAAACAAGAACGTTTACAGTGGATTGAAGCTGGTTCTTCAGCTCCAAAACAGGTGAAGTCAGAACGATCGGCAAAAAAGGTTATGGCATCAGTTTTTTGGGATGCAAAAGGGGTTTTGTTGATTGATTATCTTGAAAAAGGTAAAACAATTAACTCTGAATATTATTGCAACCTTTTGGACCAGTTGGATAAAAAAATTGGTGAAAAAAGACCCGGTTTACAGAAGAAAACAATCATTTTTCATCAAGACAATGCACGTGTTCACACAAGTTTTTTGACGATGGTTAAATTGAACGAATTAAAGTACGAATTGCTTGAACACCCACCGTATTCACCAGATTTGGCTCCCTCCGACTATTACCTCTTCAGAAACTTGAAACAATTCCTTCGTGGAAAGCGTTTTTCGTCGAATGAAGAAGCTATTGCAGCCGTGGAACAGTATTTTGCAGAGCTTCCGGAAAATCATTACAGAGATGGTATAAAATTATTGGAGGATCATTGGAATAAGTGTGTTCAAGTTGAGGGAGATTATATTGAATAAAAAAACTGATTTCATTAAAAAATACACATTCTTTCATTTTTGCTTTCAAAACTTTTCAACCAACCTGTATATTGTCGATACCTACGTCAAAACTGAACAAAACCGCCTTGCATTCCATCGACGAAATCAAAAGACTCTTCGAGTAGAACCATATCAAGGGCTGATGGATCATTTGGTGAATGAAGCGAAGATAGAAGGGTTAAAACTTGAATGAGTGATAATTCTTCCGCGAAGTTTTCCAGGAAGTCGTAAAGCAATGCAACAAAATTATCAAGATGCAATAGCGATCGTTCGAAAATATGGAAAACCGGACCTATTCATTACATTTACGTGTAATCCAACATGGAGAAAAATCGAAGAGCAGCTCTTATCCGGCCAAATCTCTTCTGACAGACCTGACCTGGTTACCGGAGTCTTAAACTCCAACTCGAACTTATTGATGATATTTTCAAGAAGTACATACTCGAGCGAAGGATAGCCAATGTCTTCGTAATCGAATTTCAAAAGCGTAGTTTGTCACACTATCACATATTCATAATTTTGGTCAACGAATAATGGCTTACCTATACCATATTACTGACGTGAGTAAAACAAGATATCATGCTCGGATTGATGCACGTGTTGTAATGAAACAAGTATAGATAAGAAATAGAAAAAAAAATCATTACCATACTCTAGCTCATCACATATATACTCAAGGCAAAGGTAACAGAGAGATGAATTAACAAGCATTTTAAGGTAAGTATAGTATTTTTTTCAATGTTCCAACTTTCACTGGATTATACACATTTCTTTGCTCTCTGACAATATTGCTTATATTTAATGTTTAAACAACAATTCTCATGCATAAAAAGCAACCTTCACTTTAGATGGTTAGATTTACATAATATCGGTTAACGAACATGTGCAAGTATGAGTTGAATGTGATGATTCAGTGGATTGGTCAATAGTTTGCTGGACACAGTTATGTAAACCCTATCGACCGGGTGGCTTGAGTGAAGTCGGCACGCACTAGTGCAGCATTCCAAAGTATAGATATAACACCAGTTGTCCTTACTACTAGGAGTTTCACATACCCATAAAAAAAAATTTGTACAAAAACGCGTTTCAACGCAAACTTTTAGAGAAAAAACGCTATTTTTTGCGTTGAAATGCATCTTTTTTTGTCTGAAACGCGTCTAAACGCATTGGTCTTCGTTTATGACGCGTTTAAATGCATCTTTGTTTATTCACAATGTGTTCTTTCAATTTAAAATGCCACCCAAAAACATCATTCGAACATGTTTTATTTTAAGCGTTACGACACGTTTATTTGTCATGCATCTGAATGCGTTTTTTTGAGTTCTTTTGTTGAACACGAAGCTTTTTACAAACACACTTAAATGCATAGCTTTTAACGCATTTTTTTAAAATAAAAGTGTTTGAGTGTGTATTTTAATGCATGCTTTTTGTTGTAAGAATGAGGCTTTTACAAACGCGTTAGAATGGATTTTTTAATGCGTTTGTTATAGAGAAAATGATTAACTTCACAAGCAAGTTGAAAGAATATCTAGGTTCGTATTTTGAGTAAAAATGTCGTTATATGAAGGAAAA